TATAAAAAGGTTGATGTTTATTTATACATTAAAAATACAATTGTCTAGGTCATAAATAGATAGTCAAGTGAAGGCATCGCCCATAAGTCATGACAATTGCTTAAAAAATACTAACCCTTCTTCTGTTTCTTCTATTTTAAGTATTAACCTAATTCATAGCAACCAACTAGTGGTTGAGCTCAATTGGTAGGATGATTTGATTCTTCTTTACATAAAAGATTTTGAGTTTGCGTTTAATTGATGATTTTTTATTGAAATTATCTTAAATACACGACTTATAACTATTATTTTTTAGATTATATGAATCATATTAAATGTACGATTTGTAAATACTATTTTTTAATTTATTGGATACAAGATTTTTAAATTTTCGGATACAACATATTTTATTTGATCTAAGGAATTAAACATTCTATGTACGCTAAAAGTAAGAGAAAAACGTATGAAAGCATCGAAAATAAAAATGAAAAGAATTCTTTTAATTAAAGGTACAAAATCCTTGATGTAAATGCATATGCATACTAAGTATAAACAAAAGAACTAGTAATTTTTATTTTCATTATTACGAAAAGCTATTTTATTCAACGTCCATCAAGCTCAATCACTTGAATAAAGTGCAAATGAAAACTATATATATATAGAATATAGAATTAGGGCATGTGAAACTGTTATGAAAGTTCATATTTTATAGTAGTAGTATTTTATTTAACCGTCCAAGCTTGAGATCTCACTTAGGATCCCCATGCAAGTCAGAAACCTTCTATTTTTTTTGTCTTTGCTAAAGGTAAAACCAAACTCCTCTTTCCAGCCACTGACAAATGGAGATCGATCAAGTATATAGTACAAAATAATGAGCGGAATATTTTAAGAAGCCAGCGGGTACTTAACCAAGAGATGTGTTAGGAAAATATTTTTAAAATATGAAAAATATTAATTAAAGAAAAATTATGTTTAAGTATTTAATAGCTTATAGTAATATTTAATAATTAAAATAATTTATTTTAGACTTACATTAATAAAATAAGAAGCCTTATTATAAAAGTAGTCGGCTGCCTTTGTAAGAGCAATAAACTACAATGTTTTTGTCTCGAGCAATCGACTTCTTATGCTAAAGAAGTCAATTACATGCATTTCCAAAAGTTGCCAAGCTAGGCAAAATTTTAACAAGAGTATTCGATTGGTTATTCTCAAGAATCGATTGTTTTATCGATTATTATTAATTTTGAATGTTCTAGAATTGAAAGAAGTGGACTTTCGACATCAAGTAATTAGCCTATCTCATGAAATTTTTTAGAATATAATATATATATATATATATATATATATATATAAAAAGAGGTAATCGATTGCTTTAGTGAGAAATTATAATTTTTAAAAATATAAAAAATTATTTTCTTAAAATGAAAAGATTGATCATCCAAATGAATCAATTCATCTCTTATAATTTAAAAAGATATTTTTTTATTAAAAAAAGTGATATTTAATTGAAACAACATAATCAAAGAGTAACAACTTTAAAATTGAATTTTTGTAAGTAGTGGTTTAAGAGATTGAAGAATTAGAAAATCATTCTCTTTTTTATTCAATTTTTTTCATAAATAAATATCAATTACTATGATATTGTTTATGTAGAAAATAATATTTAAAGTTAGATATTTTTATCTCTGTGAATGGATGTTTAATGGTTTGATATCATAAGTATAAAATGACATTAAAAAAGGCTTTATTATATGTTGGAAGTATTTCGGTTATATCATTTTTGCATAGTATAATTGGTAGGGACAAAATAAGCATTAAGTGAAATGGAATTTGCAACACACCTTAAAACCATTTATGTTCATGATTGAAGATTTCATTTTAAGTTCAACACAAATCTTAGGTAGCGTTTGGTATTTTTTACAAAATTATCATGGTAATGTAAATTATCGGGGTGATCTTATTATCTAAGTGTTCTTAATATTTATGATTTGAAATTACTTTATTTAATTAACAATGATTAATTCTTAAAAATTAAAGATTATTGTAGTTAGTTTACCAAAAATCAAACATTATTTCATTTAAAAGTATGAAAATAACCATACAAATTATAATAATTATATAAATTAATAAGTTTAAAATTGTTTAAAGATAATAATTTGTAAAATACTAATAATATTTATTTTTATAATAAATTTATAATAAAATTATTAAATTAATAAATATATTTATTGATAAGCAATTTTATTTTTATAATATAAATTATGTAAAAATATTTGAATTAAAAAATAAAACCAATCTACTAAATCCATAATAAAAGAAAAATAATAATTTATATTATAATAATTATTTAAAAAATACACAAATTATTTTAAACTTATTATAATAAAATTAGTTTGAAAATATAAAAATTTATAATATAAAGTAATTATAACTTTAAGATGCAATAAAATTTTAATTTACATATTAAATAAATAAAATTAACAGTTAATTTTACATATTGATTTCCTTTGATGATAAAATTTTTTTACTTTTTTATATAATAATTATAAATAAATTTTCAAGATAGTAACATGATCACTCTTAGTAATTTAAAATCACTGTCATATAAGATCATCATTCAGTAAATACTTTTGAATAGAATAATTTAATTACTGTATATAAATCATCATAATTTTTAAAATAATCACTCATATCAGACAATACCTTAAATAAAAATTATAAATGAAAAATCATCTACCACAAGTTTAGGGAGAATCAAGCTTTGTACTGTAAATTGTAACTAACTAGATCCAACTCAAAAGAAAATTAGTTGTTGGGATCAAAGGGGAAACATCGCCATGCCTTAGTTATATGTGTAATCAATCAAATTCAAGTTGATATAGTATTAAGTTTGAACTCGAGTTTAATTCGAAATTCGAGATTTAAAACTTGACTTAAACTCGATTGAATTTTATTTTTTTAACTCGAGCTCGACTCGAGATAAAAATTGAATTACTTGAGCTTGCTTGATTAAGTTCAATTGATATGTAAAAATAAGTTTGATTTTTATATTCGACAAAAATTTGACTATTTGTGTTTGAACTCAAGCTTGAATTCGATATATTTTTATTAAATAAAATAATAAAAATATATTTAAATATAAAAATTCGATTAGACTCGTGAACTATTCAAGTTGATATAAAATATTCAAACTTGACTCAATTGATGAATCAAACTATTTGAATTTAAGTTCGAGCTCGACTCTATAATTATTAAGTCGAGTTTTAGTTTTATTCGAATCAAACTCAAATAATTTATGAATATTAATGTATCATTTATACTCTTAATTTTAATGCTTAAATCATGAAATTTCATTTTGGATTTTAATTTTTTTTAAATATTAAAGATAAGGATGAATATCTGCCCTAACATCAATGTGGTAGGATAGGACAATTCAATTTAGTTTGAACCATGAATCAAAGAGCATATGATGTAGGCCAAATTTGTATTGAACTTAAAAGTTAAATTTCAATTTGTATTATTTTATCATATAAAAAATTATATTTATATTATATTTTATATAAAAATTATATTTTATAATTTGTAATTAATATGAAAATATAAAATATAATTTTTTAATTTATTAAATTCATTTATAGTTTTTTTTTTAATTTTAAATATTATTTTTTAATTTTTATTAATTTTATATTATATTATTATATGGTATTTCAAATTATCCATCCTACCAAAAGTTGAAAACGAAACTTAAAAAGGCTTCCACGTTTCTCTCGCCGCACGCTAGCATTTTCCCCAATCCATGATATCATCCAAACCGTGTGTTGCAGATCCCAAAATAAAAAGGCGTTAACCATGAGCTTCTATCCACTGCTCCATACTTCTTTTCAACAAGCTTACACCCGTCCCTCATTTATAATAAATTATTTGAGTTGGAATGGAATTTTTTAATTTTACAAATAAAATTAAACTATTAAAATATGTTTTATTTTTTATTATATTTAAAGATATGTTTCATTTTATTTATAGAAATTAAAAAATTTATTATTAATAATATAATAATTTACAAATTATATTATGTATGTCAAATTTTTAAAGCAATATTTATATATGAAATTGGTTAATTAACAGTTAATTTTATGATTTTGAAAGCATTAAAGAAAAAATTATAGTTAATATATTTTTTAATTAAAATTAATGAAAAAAATGCATTAAATATATAGTTAATATATTGTTGTAATTAAATTTGCATTAAATGCAATTTTTTTAAATTAACATTTTAATAATCTTTAACTAATATTTAGATTTGATAATTTATATATTTATATAGTATAAAATATTAAAATTAATATATTTATATAATATTTTATATAAAAATTATGTATCATAATCATATTCATATTTAAATAAAAATATATTTTTTAATTTTATTATATCTAAATATAATTATTATTAAAATTTTAAAATGATCATTTTTATATCTCATTTTGTATTATATTATTGAATTATATTTTAAATTATCAAATTTATTAATATCTATAATAACCTAAATTATAAAATCAAATAAAAACCTATATTTACATTACCATTTACAATCTCTCAATTACTCTTTTCAAATCTTGATGTTTAATTAGCCCTTAAGTAATTAGTTTAATTTTTTTAAAATAAAATTTTAATTTTGAATATTATGAATTAAAAAAATAAATTTTAAAAAATTTATCTCTATTATAAGATTCACTCGATTTTAAATTAATCGAGATCTAAAAATACTATTAAATATCAAAAGATCTCAAATAAAAATATCCAATTAGCTCAAAATTATGATTTATGAATCCATATGTCCTGAAAATTTCTCGATGCAAATATTGTGATCGTGCACGAATCACCGTGCTTTAGCACAACCCAACGGCTGATCCCTCGGTTCCATATTGAAAGCCGTTGTTGAGGATCATTTTCGAGAGAAGACAGAGACAGAGAGAGTTTGACTCGAAAAAAGTGGAGAGGATGAAACTAGACAAGGTAAGGGACCCACACTAAAACAAAGCAAGTAAATAAAAAAAAAAAAAAAGACAGCTCAAGATCTCCTCAAGACATCATCGTCATCTTCATCGTCTTCACTGGATTCGCCCCTTTGTGGCTTTGTTTTTGTTTCTCTGCCGTTTTTACTACAAAAAAAGAAGACATGATGATTTTATAGCTTGAACTGTTTTGACTTAATAAGAGAGCTGGGATTCTCCGACATCTCTGTCAGCTTCAAAAAAAGAAAAGACAAAGTCGAAAGGAAAGGAAAGAAGAGAAAAGATAGTTCTTTTTTGCTTCTTTTGCTGTTTGGTTGGAAGGAAAATTTGGGTTTTTGTTTCTTTTTTCTGAGAAAGTGAACAGGTAAAGTGGCGTTATCAGTGTGGTTAATATAGTTCTAAAAGTGGGGTGGCGATGGTTAATGCTAAAACTGAGCGTAATAAATAAAGGAAAAAAATAGAGCCGTTTGATTGGTTTGGTTGCTATGGCAATTACTGACACATAGGTATGGAGTTTGACCTTTTTTATTGCATTTGTTTTTCGATAATTACAACTCACTCATTTCTTTATTAATTCAGATTTTCTGGCTCTCTCTGCAAATCTCTCTCTATTTATTAACTCTGTGCTCTTTCCTCTGTTATCTAAGAACACTAAAAGTTTCTTCTATCTTTTATTCAAAGTTGGGTTTTGAGTTTTGTTTCTAACGCTTTTAATTCTTTGATTATTTGCTTTGCTCCCTTTAGAAACCCCCAAGCTCCAAAGCCTTTTCCTTTCTCTCAGGATCTCCTTTGTTTCATTAATAATCTTGTTTTCACTTGGATTTTACAGTGAAGATTGGTGAAAGTTCTGAATCACAGAGAAAAAAAAGGTACAACAGTAATTTATTTTTATAATTTTAATGACTCTGTTTTTGTATGATTGTGTTTGTTTCTCTTTTTTGGGTTTTTGTATTTGTTGGGATCTGCTTCAGATCTTTAATATTCTCTCCTTTTGGTTTTTACTTCACCTTTTTCATGAGGTTGAAGATTTAACCAATCTGAGATTTTCCTTTTTTTTTTTTCTTTTTAACAATTATAATGGATTAGATCTGGTTAGAGCTAGAAAACAGAACAGATGGTGGCAATGGCATTGTTGAAACAAGGGAAAGGTTTAAACTTTTGAGTTATAATTTAGTGGTTGAAAGTATGTGTTAAGCTTTTCAAAAAGTTAAAACCTTTTTCTCCTATTGTCATTTTGTATATTGAAGGCTGACTAAAAAAAGATTCGTCATGGTGAACTGAAAGGTTTTTGGTCATGGAGCAATCTCTTCATAACTATTACTTGTTACACTGTTATTGTTGTGTATAATTGGATGATTATCAGCACTTTTTTTTGGTTTACAAAAAATGACTGTGGTTTGGATTTTTAGGCTCTATTTTTGGTTCATATAATTGGATGATTGTTGGTTTTTCAAGCTAATAAATGAGCTTGGATTGCATGGTTCTTCTGATCTGGTTTATGTAGCTTTCAGCACTGGTATCATTTTAGCTTTGCTTTTGAATTTTATTCCTTTTTTGGCTTTCTGTTCTTATCTTTGGAGATCAATTAGTTTTTGGGTTAAGGCTGCTCATGAAGTTCATTTCAGTCCTGTATTCCTTGTTTGATTTCATGTATTTCTATGCTTGGCAAAATGTTTGAGAAAGCAATCATGGAGGTGGATGATAGTTTTCTTTCTTAGTAATTTAGCCAGTCAACGTTATGACTCGGTGGTTGAATACTTCAATTGATCATATGAGCTGCCTCTTCTTAGCGAAATCTTTTTATTCCATCCTTTTTGAACAACTTACTATGTCTGCTAGTAGCTGTTTCCATTTTCTCTTTTTAACTTGTCCTGCATTTTATGGCAGAGTAGCTCTCAAATGCCATATGGTGTATGGTTGAAGATATCACTCTTTGTAACCTCGAAGCCAACCGATGTATACCATGAAACATGGTAATTTATTATATGTTTAATTTACTCAAAGAGGATTAATCACTGCACTGTATCATAAAAAATTTGAAAGCATGAAGGTGCTTAACATGGCTACTAAATGGTTTGAAATGTGTTGGTCTACATTTTCAACTTTCAGATGTTACTGTCATCGTGAATGTTATTCTGCCAGATACATTTAATTGTTATATATGAAGATTACGGTTCTTACTGGATATTTTTATGTGCTCGCAGATAATGACCAAGTGCTTTGCCATTCAACTATAGGCTACAAGAGCGACTCAAGGCCTTATTCCTTCTTAGCTGACACTAAACCTTTTGAGAACAAAGAAAAGCCTTTGGATTCCACTGTACTGAATGCAGAAGGAATTGTGAAGGAAAATAATCCCACGATATATCTAGAGAATACACGAAATGGATGGCCAGCATCGAAACTTGATTATTCTATGAGTGTAAATGACTTTGTCAATGGTAATGAAAAGGAGTTCAGAGATTTTGTGACATCAAATACTCATTCTTCAAAGAATATGGATTCATTTCAGGAGTCAGTTTTTTATTTGGACAAAAGTGTGATGGAATGTCAATTGCCTGAATTGGTAGTTTGTTATAAAGAAAGTACATATAATGTTGTCAAGGACATCTGTATCGATGAGGGAGTTCCGACACAGGACAAGTTCTTGTTTGACAGTGGCGTGGATGTGAAGAGTGATTACAACTTTCCACCTTCTGAAAAGGATCAAGATAGTAAACTGATGAAAGAAAAATTGGAGATTGATATGTCCTTGCAAGTTGTTTATGTGTCTCCAGAAGAAAATCAATACGGCAAGGATATTGACGATGAATGTGGTTCTAATAAAAAACTCGATGCTGATACACGTATGCGAGATATTTCCTTTTCTCTAGAAGAAAATGAGTCTAACAAGGGAATTCCGAATCAATATGATTCTAAGGATTTGATGCTGACAAGGGAAATGAAAGATGATGCAATGAAAGTGGTCACAGATGACGTCTCCAAAGAATTGTTTACCCTTGGAGAGTTACTTTCAATGCCTGAACTGAGTGCAGTGAAATCCAAAGCCATGTCTTCTGATTGCAAAAGTGATGGAGTCGAACAACAGTCTTTTCAGGTAAACTCCCAAGGTTACTGAAATTTCAATGTACTATACCGAAATTCCTTGTAATAACGATATGGATTCACCTATATATTACTACATATTATCACCTCCAATATTTCTGCATTCATGTTTGAGATAGAATTGAAGGCACCTTTTTTTCTAACAATTCTATATGTTTACCACAACAAATGGACCTTTATGGCCTAAAGTGAAAACAATAATAGAAATCATGGTAATTTTATTTTCCATTTGTATGAATATTTATGTTAGAAATCTATAAATATCAGACAGGTATTAAGATTGTTGATGATAGTTTTCTATTAGGGATTCAGGAGAGAGGATTCACATCTTAGGAAGTAACATGATGTATTTTGATTTGTATGCAGAACTCGAGCGAAAAGGAAGTCATGGTGACGCCCCCCTTGGTTTCTGCAGCTGAAGAATCATACAATAGCAGTGAGGAGGCAATTCTATCAGCTCCTGCTTTGGTCTCTGCAGCTGAAGAATCAGACAGTGGGAAAGGGGAAGCGACCCTGATTAGTCCTGCTCAGGCCTCTGCTTCTGAGGAATCAACCAGCTGCAGCCTTGTCAATGAGGTATCTTCTGATAGCAAACTAGAGACTGGAAGCATCACTGTTGATTATGATTCTTCTGCACCAACAAGCAGCAAAGATGAGTGTCCCCACAATCTTGATCATGGTCCTCTTGAGACTGGAAGTACACCCAAGCTTGAAGATACAGCTGATCAGCCTTTTTCAAACAATCTTCAACGTGGTAATGGAGAGTCCAGTTTCTCTGCCTCAGGGCCTGTAACAGGTCTAATAAGTTACTCTGGACCAATAGCATATTCAGGCAGTCTCTCTCTTAGATCAGATAGCAGCACAACAAGCACTCGTTCCTTTGCCTTCCCTATGTATTCTACTGACAAACTCTTTGTTTCTAGCTCCTAACAACTTCTTTTATATCCAATTTATAACTAATTATTAGCTGTTTTGATTTTGTTTTTTCCTCTTATGTGCAGATTGCAGTCTGAATGGAATAGCAGTCCAGTAAGAATGGCAAAAGCTGACCGGAGACATTACCAGAAGCATAGGTGTTGGAGGCAGGGACTCCTTTGCTGTAGATTCTGAAAAGTTCTACTCTATCCATAGGTTATACAAATTTATTGTTTTTGCTTATCAAGATATATACATCATCTCCTTTTCTCCACCATGGCTTGTAATGTGCAGTAGCTTTAGAGTGTCATACTTAGAGTTTTGATCTCATGCATGCAAGTTGAGCTGTAAGCTATGTCCTATAATTTTCATGCCATTATATTATTTCTTTTTGGTTTTTTGTAATTGTTTCCCTACCATTGCCTCCACTTTTCCTGTTCATAACTTCAGCTCATATGCCGTTCCAAGTGGATTGGGCTACAGGAACAGCTGATGTGTGGCACGCAAATCAGGATGGCCAAAGCTGAACATTGAGAGCAACCTTTCTTTTCTCTTGGTAAATGCTTGCAAACAAGTTGGTATAAAATCATAAATGAAACATTCAATACAATTTTATGCAACTTGGCCAAATGCCTGAAAGGATTTCAATGTTTAGATTAAATGTGAGATACATGGGAAGAGAAAACCTGCCTAACTAATAACTCGTGGTCAGCTTTAAAATCTGCTTTCTGTTAGTACCATGGCTTGTTATGTTATGGTTGAGAAGCTAATCTGCCTTGTTAGGAAATCTACTACAGTGAGTGGGAGGACAAAGGGAACGGGAGGTGTAGAGTTTGAACACTAGCTTATTTAGAACTGATGATTTAAAATATAATAGAAAAAAAATACGAAAGTGTCATTTAAAATTTTAGTAAAAAAATGAGTTTAACAAAAATAAAAAAATATTGTGTTTTTTATATCGAGTCGAATTTTGATATATAAATTTTATATAAAATATAATATAAATATATAAATTATTAATATTTTTATATGATATAAATATACGAACCTTAAGATTTAAACTTATAAACTTGTAATTGGAGCATAAAGATAATATAAATCAACCTACTTAGGATGGATTCCTTGGCTAATTTTGATCCCTAAGAAAAATCTCATCTTTTCCTTAGAGATGGTAATGTATAGTAAATAAACGGATATTCATTTTTATTTTTATTTGATTTATTTATATTAAATTCGGATAGTTATATATGAATAATTAATGAATTATGATAAAAAATTTACTATTCATGACGGATTCGAAGCGGATATGAATAATATCCTCTGAATATTTAATATTTAAATTTGTTTAACTTTTAGTAAATAATAATAGATATTCAAATTTGTATCCGAAATCATTATCCGTTTATTTATATAAAATATATAAAATGTTATGTATGTATAAAGATTTAGATTTTAAAAAATAATTTTTATTTATTATTAATTAAGAGTGAACTTGAATTTAAAATTAAAATTTTGTTTATTTTATATTTTAATAAAAATTTTAAATAAACGAATATTATAATGGATTTAAATATTTAAACGAATAGTACTTATTTATACAAATTTAAATTTAAATAAATTCAAATACGAATATCTAAAAAAATAATGAATATCCACGCCAATGTCATTCCTATTTTTCCCTAATTCTTCTTTCTTAGTTGCACCTTATGCCAGTTTTAACTTCTTCCCAGGCTAGTAAGGGAAAAGCCATTTTCTTTTATTATTTTAAGTGTCTTTGTAATTTCCTTGAGACTTACAAATTTGTTTTTCTATTATAGCAATTTCTTGCCTGTTTTTTATTGGCAATGGCAAACATATCCAAGTTGGGCATGGTTGGGGCAAACCTATTTTGCCTAGCTAAGATTAGGAATCATATGCACGTGTATTGTCTTTGAAAAAACAAAATGCTTCAAACAGCAAAAAATAAGATTATTTGACCGTCTCCTTCCTGTTTCCGACCAATTATTTCATTTGATTGGGTTTGATATGTGTGTTCTTCTAAGTCATTCCATGAAGTTTGTATACATTCATACATTTTTTGCACTGTCTAGTGCCAACTTTGGTACGAACAAAAGGAAAGAAAAGTGATCCTTTTATGCTTCAGTCTTCACTTGTTCAATTTTCTTTTTCTCAAAAGACAAACAGAAACAAGAAAATTTGATTTGTTTTTTGATCAATAAACATATATAGTATATAGGATATAGACCTTTTAATTACTTTATTGATCCCCCGTTAGGCAGAAAAAATATACAAATGAACTATTCGATAACATATATATGAGCTGGCCTGAAACTTTTTAACTAAGAATTACAAGAATTTTGAGTATCATATCATAATCAAATGATCAAATGTTTTGTTTTCTCTAATATGCTGTTAAAAGCTCATAAATTACTAAAATTAGCAACATATTTGTGCTTTAATGGAGATTATGTCTTAGGCTTTGTTATAATAAAACAAAACCAAGGGTCCTACCTTGCTTGTTGACAAAAAACCAACCCAAATGGTGTTTTGGAAATCTGCATTTTTGTGCTTTGTGACTGTTCTCTTTCTATCAGTTTCTCTCCCTTTCTTTCCTCTTTGTCTATGGTACTTTGGTAGTTTGGTTGATATAAAAACAACCCACACTCAGAAAACAAAAGATCTTCAGAGAATTGAAGTGATATGGAGCTGATAGTCTTCATTACTGTGCTTTGTTTTAGCTTCTTTACATTGCAAACACCTTGTACTTCCCTGCAAATCCAGCTGCAATCATCAAATGAGCAAGGTAAACTATATATAAAGGTCTCTTTGTCTCTTGTCTCTGTCTCCTTTTTGTTTCATTATTTATTGAGTTTGAAGTGCTTTGATCATTAGCAGCAAAAGGAGTTCAGCTTTCTCCCCACACACTGCCAAGGAAGCTCAGCTTCACTGAGGAAGTAACAGTATGAATCTATCCAGAAAAAATACAATCTTTTGTGGTACAAAATTACCATCTCTTTCTTAAATTCACGTGCCTTTTGTTTTTGAAACAGGTTAAAGGAAATAAGCTCAACAATCAATTTCAAACACCAAGCTGAAGGAAGATGTTTCAGGTGACCTATCTAACTAGATCCGGCAATTCCAATATCTATGCCGTGTCTGTTTCATATCAAACATATCTAAAACATGAAAATTGTCTTGTTAAATTCGTGTCTACAGATTAAAAACAAAACATATTCTCGCCTAAAATTTTGAACCATGCGGCTTTCATTTATTTTTTGTATCATTTTTGTTTGTCATCATACAAATTTTTAAAACTTTCGTTTATATTTCCGTGTCATATTTAAAATTATCAGTTCAATTACTTTGAAGCAGGGTTGATAGTAAAACTATAACAGAGAGCTTCTGCTCAAGTCCCATGCATTCAAGCTCATTGTTTTGCAATTTTTCTTTTTCTTGAAAAGTGAGAATATTGGACAGGCAAAGCATACCAGAAAGAGCAAGCAACAATGCATGGAAGTGGAGGCACAAGGCAAGAATGGGTGGTGGGAGGGCCCGACATTTCACAATATTTTACCATGGATTATTCCCATGTAAGAAGAGGACGTCCCATACATAACAAATCATTGCCGGTTGGTCCTTGAAGCCCGAGGGGAGAGGGATATGTATAGTTCCTGCTGGCCTGCTCCTTTCAGTCCCCAACAGTACAGAACAAAACTTTTGTAGTACTAATGCTTTTGTAATTAGGGAAATGAGGAATGCGTCCTCTTTTATTTCTGTTTATGGCCGACATTTCTTTTACCAAAGAAGGAACCCTAAAATTTTGTCATCAACTTTTAGGCTGGCTGTTTTTAGGCGAACTTTGAATGACAAGGAAATTTAGTTCTTGGTATTTGATTGATTTGTGGTAAATAATCCGGAAATTTGAAGAACTAAAGTCCAAATAATATGATAATATGTGTCAAATATATCATTAGTCAACGCAAATGATTAAGATTTAAAATCTTAATACAAAATTCTTGATCTCTTTATCTTGATATTGAAAATTAAATAAGTTTTTTAACTCTTAAATTTTTTTTCATATCAAAAATAAGAAAAAAAACAAAAATTAAGAATTAAAAGAAAATTTTTTATATTTTATTCAATATTGGAATTGTTATAGTTTTAGATTTTGTGTAAGTTTAATCATTTTATTATGATTTTGATCCATAAAATATTAAAATAAGAGATAATTTAGAAGAAGGGAGATTGCGTTAGGGCTAGTTTTTTTCTTTTTTTTTTTTTAAATTGTAATCTGAAAATCGAAAAAACATTACAGTGCTTAAATTTTAGGATTTTAGAATTTTTTAACTATTGCAAAATCAAGTAAAAATTTTCATTTGATTGCTAATATTATTATTAACTTTTTTTTGTAAAAATTATTAATTATTTTTTAAAAGCAAAAGAACTAAAATATATTTAGATGAAAAATTATTAAAATTTTGAAAAATAAAAGTTAAAAATATAAACATTTTTGTTATGAATTTCAAATTTACTACCTATTTTTTTATTTTCACATGAAATAAATATGTATAAATTGATGTTTCACTTTATCTATTTTCTTATTTCTACTCGAATTATTATTTTATTTTTATATACTTATAAAAAAAATAAATAAACCAGGCCGTTTTATTTGATCGTACCGTGAGAAGATCGTTTTGGTACCAAAAACGACGAGTCGTTTCACTGGATACCAAAATTAGAAACCTGAGATCGAAACGGCGTCGGTTGGTTAACACTGAAATCAAGAAAACGAAAGTACATAAATAGCAGAGAAGATCAAATATTCATATCCATCGGATCCCAAATGGAAGATTTTTGGAAGCGAGCGAAATCTTTCGCGGAAGAAGCGGCGAAGAAATCGCAAACACTAAGGGCGCCGAACAAAATCGCCGATCTGGTCGCCGAAACCGCTAAGAGGTCCAAGGAGCTTGCTCTGGAAGCCACCAAGAAAGCCGATGAGCTCAAAACCGCCGCTCTCAAACAAGCCGATCAAATCCAATTCCAAAGCCTCTCCAAGTCCATTTCCGATATTATCCCTCCTCAACTCTCCTCCCTCTCCATTACCTCATCCGCCTCCACTTCCTCCGATCCTCCGTCAATCTCGGAGTCGGAGCTCCGGAAATTTGGACTCACTGATGATTTGAGAGACTTTGTTAGAGGTTTCACTTCTAGTACTTTCCAGAACTTCCCTTTCCCTGTCCAAGGTAATTTTTTTACCTAATTTCATTTTATTTTTTTGGGTTAAAATTAAATCTGAAAGTTTATACTTTTTGAGTAGATGAAATTGAGCCGTCCGATGGGACGACTACGGGCTCAAATGTACGGAAGGATCTGAGTGAATGGCAAGAGAGGCATGCCACGCTTGTTCTTACTACTGTTAAGGTAAAAAAAATTACCTTTCATTGTAGATTTTATAATTCTAAGGCTACGTTTGTCTTTGCGATTGGAATTGCTTTTTAGATTTTTGTAAATTTTTTGTTACAAATTTCAATTGCAATGGTAATGCCAAACTAGACCTAAGTTTAATGAGAAACGCAGGACAAATTTTAGATTTTTGTAGTTTTAATTAATTTCTATAAAACATTTATCTTTATGCAGGAAATCAAGAAATTAAGATATGAATTATGCCCACGTGTGATGAAAGAAAGAAAATTTTGGAGGATATATTTCACTCTTGTTAGCACTCATGTTGCTCCGTAAGTAATTAATTAATTATTATTATTACACTAATGATAATTTAGGATTAGCAATCCAATTTTTATTTTTTTGGTACAAAGGAGTCTGTTGCCTACGGATAGAGAAAGGGTTTGCAGGTGCTGGGATTAGAATCCCAAACTTGCTAGATACCAACTCTTAAGGGCAGCTGCACGCCTACACCAACTGAGTTATTTTTATTTTGATGTAAGGTATTTATATTTTCAGTTATGAGAAGCAGTACATGGAGGAAGTTAAACAGAAAGAGGAGGCAAAAGAGGATAAATCAAAGCAAACACCCACAGTTAAGATAGAAGAGTCGGAAAGTGGTCTGAAAAGTAAAACTTCGGGTGCCTCTACTGAACAAGATTTGGATACTTTTTTGCTGGGAGATTTTGAAGATAGTGATGGGGGTGGAGGTATATCCTTCGAAATCCTTGTATTGATTGTGGGTTTATAATATCTTCATACGTTTTATGTTTCATGCACTTTTGATATTTTGAATTGCTTGCTCTTGAAGTAACTTAATGGTTTTAACGTTTAAGTTGCTGACTTTATTTTCAAATTATATGTCCAAAAAGGATGTTTTCCCTGAGAGCCATATTAAAGCCTGATTATGGATTGTGTAGCCTAGCTTACTATGGCTGATTCAATGTTACACGTTGGTCTCAGCAGGTGTTTATATTCATGTTAATACATGCAATACTGGATAACTTGATGCAGAAATTATTGCAATAATGTGGCAAGCTTCATTGTTCATGGAAAACCATTTAGAAATGAATTGGACTTGGATAACATGTTTTTCTGTTTTAGATGTTTTCTTCAATGATTTTTTTACAGTCAATTTGTTTATATTTGCACTTCTTTCAGATGATGCTGATGCTGATGCTGATGGGAGCTTTGGTGATGATTTTGACAAGATTGAAAATTCTGTAAGCTTGAATAACTTTATTCTACCTCTTATTAAGGAGTCCTAACTCCTATTAAAGCTGGCTGTTGCATCATAAGATCTACATCTTTGTAACATGTTGAAGTTTTGCCTCATTTCATTGATGTTTGTTCCTAGGTTCTTCATTCGTTGAATTGGTTTTAACATATGTTTCAAACTTTATGGCAACTTGCAGGATGTAGAAGATGAGAAGAAGGATGCAGCGGGAACTAAAGCTTAGAATTCCAGCCAGATGAAACAAATTGGAGTAAAAGCTAGAACTTTGCTGCTAGGGGGAGGAAAAGAATGCTGAAAGGATAGCAGAAGCAGGTGCTGGTTCTCAAAATTGGATTCGGTGATTGGGGTTTGGTACTATGGTGTATGTTGCTTTATGTAAGAGATAGCTAGCTATTTGTTCATCTGTTTAATGCTGTAAACAATTGCAGGTTCTGATCCCTGTTTGCCAGGGATTGAGGGGAGGCTAGAACACCATTATCTGCCTTGTACAGAGAATCTCATTCTGTTAATCAAATTGTTCTTGTTAATGCTTCTGAATCTTGAATTTTGTTCATGCCATGTCTGGACTTAAGAAAACTCCACTCTCTTCTTGTGGTGGAACAGTGTGGGGAGTGAACGAAGCTATCGAAACAGCGCATGCATTCTTCTGTATAACCGGTGATTTTCGGAACCTCCGAGGAAATATTCTGTATAAGTATCTCAGAGACTACTAGACATCTTGTGTTCTTTGAGAGCCACAAGTGATCTTCATAGAAGGAACATATTAAGCCCAGCTTGAAGATTTTAGCTATGGATTAGAAGTGGCTTGGAATCTGGATCTGGGGTTTTGACATCTTTGCTGGGAAAAATATTATTTTGGAACAACTTTCATATTACTTGCTCTAGGCTGTAGACAACAAACAAATGCTGAATTCAAACCTTTTCTTTGGGTTGAGGAAAAGATCTGAAGCGTTTTAGCTTTCCTCAAGATTCATAGTTAGAACTTAGAACAAACTTACTATTGCAATTCACTAAATATAAGATCAACATACAATTCACTGAATTGAAGAGGAAATTGCAATTCTTAAGTGCAGAAATAATACCAGTATATACAGCATAAAAAACAAATTAAAGTAAAAAATCTCTGGTTAATTACCATATTTTTTATTTGTTATCCATACAACCTGTTAATCGGGATTCGGTAGTAGTTAAATGAATAAATGAGTTCCTTTTTTAATACAATGACAGTACAATTTTTTAACTCTCTGCTTTTCAGCTTTTCGAACTGATACTTGACTCAAAACACCCTCTTTCTCCTTTTCTTTCACCTTGATCTCCCCTATCATCTTCTTCTTCCTCTTCCTCTTTACAAATGCAGAGCATAGCTAATCGCAGTCCCTTATCAACTCCCTCCAGTTCCCAAAACTGTTTCTTTCACAGTTTCCCACCAAGGCTATTCATGGCAAGATCCTTACCATTGAATGCGCCACATCAACGACCCTGGCTTCTTTAACTACCTCAACCAAGAAAACTCATATGTTCAAGCTTTGATGGCTGACACTCAAGCCCTACAACGAACTCTGGTCTCTGAGATGAAAACCCGGATGCCCTCCAAGGTTTCCACCATTGTTGAACGTTTTGGACCCTGGTTTATGGTTTTTAGTACGACCCATTTAATGGTTTTCAATAATCTTACAAATAAAATATTCGATTCTTGTCAACTTAATCAGCTGTTGTTGACATTAAATAAATTCGGTTGTACTTATAAATATTTAGTTAATGGAAATAATTAGTATTATGACATATTATAAATAAAATAGTAATTTTAGAAAATGATAATATAATAAATAGTTTTAAATAAAAAGAAGAAAAGACAAGTTTTCTTTATTCTAGTTAAATCGAATTTATTATATTAATGGAATGAACCCCATAAAATTATGTTAAACGGATTGAGAAAAGAAAACAAATTCTTCTTGCATTTGAAAATCAGTAAGTTATATAACTGGTTAACGTATGACTATATTGAAATTTTCCTAGCAAGAAAGAATGAAACAATCACTTTAAAAGCCCAAATTCTTTTCAAGGAAACCAGCTTTCTGGCTGTATAATTCCCTGGAATCTGGTAATTAAGAAAAAAATAGAAAAAAAAAAAAAAAACCAAATGGCTTGTATTGAAGCTTGGAGCCATTGATAAGTTCTTCAGTGACTTTTATGAAGTGATTTTTTTTTCTTAATTTTAAAAACATTTTTTTGGGTGATAGATTTTTTTTATTATTATTTATATATGATATCTCTGATTGTATTATAGAGAATTAAAAAAGCTTAGGATGGGTAACTCCGAGGCAAATTTTGAAGAGACATATTGTGGAGAGGTGAAGGAGAAACACCACTACAGAATGATAAGGTTGAAGCATATAAACATGGTTAAGGCTGAAACATTGAAGAGCTTAATTCTTGCAAGGATTAGAGTCTCTCAATTGAAATTGTGGGTGACTAGAGCTCTAAGCATGATGCTGCTTTGGGCCATTGCCATGCAGTTGAAATCACTGGGAAAAGCAGTTTCATCACCAATAACCCTAAATCTACCTTTTCTTATCTTCTACCACTGAAATTAGGCAATAATTCTTACTTGAACTCAGAGTTTTGCTCAATAAGTTTATGGCATCCAACATTTTTATATTCAAATCTGAACAGTTGCATCCATTTCTCCTATCCCAGATGATGGCTTTCTATGTATAAAAAAAAATTCTTAGCTATGAAGTTGGTTCAATTTAGTTACTATGCATTTCTATATACAAGGAGTTGGCTACACGAGTTACTAAAGTTTTTTACTATTTCATGAATTAAAACTATTGAATGAAAACTAAATCATACAAGTTGCCTGACTGTATAAAATTTTCAGGGGTCTATGAAGACAATGGTTATCTGATGGTTTCTTCCAATGGAGGATTGAATCAAATGCGATCTAGTGTAACTAATTTGCCTGTTGCCATTATTCTTCTGCTTGTGTACAAATGTTGTCTTGATCGATTATCCTGATTAGGTATAACTTTGTTTTTCTCTTGTATATGCAGATCTGTGATATGGTTACAGTTGCCAGATTTCTGACTGTCACCCTCATAGTTCCTGAATTGGATAATTCATCGTTTTGGAATGATTACAGGTAGCTAATTTTTCTCATTTCTTACTTTTTTTCTTTTACTAGCTCATGTCTGCCACCTTTTTAATTTCTTTATAATGCCAGATGCTATGAATTTGTCGTTTGATCGATCATATTTCTGAAGAAATTCCATTTTCTGATATGGCAGTCAGTTTGCAGACATATTTGATGTAGAATACTTCATTGCATCACTGAAAGATGAAGTTCAGATATTGGAAGCGCTGCCTCCTGCGCAAAAGAAAAAATAGCTGAATCAGTCTTCTCAATGCCACCACAGGGGTAGGTTCAGAAATTTTTTCGAGATATCTACTTGTAATATATATATATATATATATATATATATATATAAAATTTATGGACGAATTTACTAATTTTATTGGCAAATTTATTAAACGAAAAAGGTGTTCATAAGAATTAAATTATTTTTTTATTTATCTCTTTTATTCTTAAATCTATTAAAATTAATAATTAAAAATTAATAAAATATTTTTAATTTATATAATCTTTCTCAAAAATAAAATACTATTAGCTTTTTCCTTTTTTTTTTTTTGTCGAAGAAAAGCTGAGTGACAATTAGCTCGTCTCCAAGATAAATTGTCAACCCACAAAATGATTTACGATTTTTTTTTTTTCATAGAGACTTATTAATTGCCTACAAATAAAGTAGATTATGAGGATTTGAATTTAGTACTTTATATTTAGACACTAAATTTTAATTATTTGCGTTAATCCTACGAATGGTTTTTATTATTCAATAACCACATTGAAAATTTTATATATTCTATCAATTTTAAGGAAAATTCAAGTGAAATTCATTAGTTTCAGAAATAAATATTCGGTTTGAATGAAAAATGAATACTCCTGGTTCTACTTGAAAGCGCCTCTTCTCCATCGACATAAGCATCAGCAAAATGTAATATCAAAAGTGTTTTCTTTACTCTCCAAAACCCCTCTCCACCTGCCAAAACCACCACCATTCCACTGCCGCAAAGCACCATGAACACCGCCCCTCCCGCCCGCACCCTCCACCAACAGACATTCCTTAACCCAATCCCTCCTCTGCCCCTCCATCAACCGGACTCCACTTTATAGTCAACACCATCCTCAAACATCTCTGCAGCCACGGCCCCAAAGCCCTCCAATTCTTTCACCTCCTTCTACCATGTCATCGACATAGCTGGCAGTCTCCGCTACTACGCCACCGTCTTCACCCTCCTCCACCGTATGCGCTCTCTGTCTAAATAATATATGGCAGATTTGGATAAAATTTACCCTAAATAATATATGGAAGAAAATTTTAATATTATTCTTTGTACAAAATGACATGGATTTTTTTTTTAATTTTTACCAAATATTTATTCATGTGTTTTGTTATTTTTGGACAATTAAAAATATATCTATTCAAAGATGTATTATAGATTTAGTCTGCCAATTAAACAGGAAAAAGACGGATTGATATGCAAAGATATGACAACTTACAAAAATTTTGAAAGAAAAATTTTCTTAAGACACTTCAAAAAAAATTTTTGACGTCATTTTCATCAATAAAATTAATAAATTTATTAACAGTTCTTCTATAAATCCGGAAACAATTAAATTGCCAACGCGTTAGACAACACATCGACAGATTTGCAAATAGGAAAAAAAAAATCAAAGTTTATAAAAAATATCAATTATTTTGCTATCCATTGATAGTTTTTACTTAAATCAAACGATGCATTTTAAATTAAATATATAAAAAAAATATTATTTCAAAATTTTTTTTATAAATATTATAAATAAATATCTTTAAAAAAACTGAATCTGTCAATAATAAAATAGTAAATTTAGATATTTATCTCTTATATAATTAATAAAAAAAATCGTTTCACTTAATATTTTATTAATTTGTTGAATGAGATGAATAAATTTTATTTTTTTTAATTATTAATTTCAATATATATATGAATAAATATTTGTACAAGGAAGTGTTCCCATACTGTATTCTAAAATAAATTGATAGTTTCAAATACAACATACCAATAGACATGAAAACAACATAAAAAAATCGTATATGTATTTAAAAAAAACATATTTTGTATTTATTTATGTCGATACAAAATTTGACATAACACAATTTGTATCTTATATCTGTAGATACGATTAAACAAGTGACATGGCATGAATAATATGTTTAATTTAATTTTATCATACGAGTATACATTTAACATATTTAATATGTTTAACATAATTTTTATATTTATTTTAATTTAATATAAATATATAAAAATTATTTTAATTTTTCATATTTTAATTATGGTACTTAATTTACTCTTTAATTTCATGTAAAAAATATTTTAAACATTTAATTATGATACTCATTTAATAATTATTATAAAATTATTTTTTTATATTAATAATATAAATACAATATAAATATTAATATTAGTTATATACATTATTATTTTATTTTTTAATCTTTAATAGTTTATTATTTTGAATTTGATGTTAAAAATTAATATAGTTATGTAATATATATTAAAATTTAAATTATATATTAAATACTTATTAAATGATTATTAATTTTAATATGTAAGTATTTTTTTATACTATTAAATGTCAAGTTTATTAAGTTATAAATGATGGATAGTTTATAGTTATCTATTATTTCTGTTGTGTTTTTGTAAATATTCGTATTAATTGTGTCTATTCATGTATATCCATGTTAGTTGTATCTATTCATATATATTTATGTTATTTGTATTTATGCATGTTGTGTTTAAACATATTAATTGTACATATGTTAATCATGTCATGTCGCATGTAATATATATAATAAATGTGTCATGTTTTATGTTTAGGATTTAAACACATTTTATAATTAGTGTCGTATTTGTGTTTTAATTATTTATGTTATTACATATGTTAAACACGACATGAAAATAGAAATTGTCTAGTCTATCCTAGAATATTGAGATCCTAAGTAAATTAATTATATGAG